TGATGATGAATAACCGAAAACGAGCTTGTTCGCTACACTGTTGTTTTCTGATCTATCCATCAATCAGTCACCGTCCTAAAATTATTTTTGGAATTTTGCCGTTAGAACATAGAGTTTCAATGTGCAAGTATATGTATGACAGTTACAATCCTCATAGAAAACATTTTAGCAAACAGTTCTAAGAAATAAAGTAAGTGTAATGTGGATATTTTCAAAAAATCTTTTATGCCGTTAACGTACGTACGGTGGTACCATTTTGTCTAGGCTCTTTCGTTAGGGCTGATCGATCACAATCAAAGACAGTCACCAGACTAGCTGTAGTTTGTTAGAAATGAGTATACAGGAGTAGACAAATGCAGAAAAACGTGAAATATAACTCATCTTCTCTGCAGCAGTAAACATCTGTGATACCAGATAGACAACACGTAGTTATTTTCCTTAGCTGATGATTGCAGTCACTGTCACAGAGAGTGGGATGCAAGAGCGGATGGTAGTATTGAAGGCTACCAGGGAAGTAAGCCCAGATGGCACATACTCGGTGGTCATAAAGCCTCTGAACTTTATCATGGCTGAACCACTGACTAACCTGTCTATTCATGCACTATCACTACAGTCTAGAGGGAGGCAATAGCCCTGTTTATGCACGGAGACAGCAACAGTATGGAGACTTAATGCTTCAAGTCTGTCAGCTTTATTTTTTTATCATGCCAAAGTTTCAGAGAGAATTTAGCGCAACAGCATCGTACAACAGTTACCACTAGCAGGCACTTGACGACACACCATTATGTTTCTTAGATATGACCATACGACGAATTTACTGGCTTTCCTCGACAAAATATCCCTGTTACTAGACCATAGGTGGTTCGTCTAGGTTACCCGTCTAGGCTTTAGAAAGACGCTTGATTAAGTCAATTATCACCTGCTGCTTGGTATTTCCATTAGTTGTCTGGAGAGCTGGAAAAGAGTGCTGAAATCGTGCGGTGGATTCAATACTGTTTCACGACGTTTCCTATAAACCACTAGATGCGGGAGCACTTCAGTGGGCTTAAATCGTTAGGCTGCTTCTACATCAGTTGCAGGCTCATCGAAGGCGATCTTATCAAAACATTTGACATAACAAATGAAATGTTTGAAGTAGGCAAGATAATATTTACTTACAAAGAAATCCTGAAGTGCGAAAGCCATAAGGTGAAATTCTTAAAAAATGGACCAGAACGGACCCTTAGGGTAGTTTGTTTCCGCGTAACATAGGGAATCGTTTGGAATGACTACTTTTGAATGTAGTTATGGAGTATAGACTGAAAAGAACAGGATCAGCTTATTTGAGAGAAGTTATTAAGAGTGTGCAGATTAAGTTGTGTAAGGAGAATTCGGATGTAGAAGTGTTTATAACAGACGGTTCGACCACCAGATATATTGCATATCCTCTTTAAATCTAATTTGTAGGGCGTATCTATCGCAATGAACCAATCAGCATCTTGCGCAGGATGAAGACTGAAGGAATAGCCTGCTAAGTGGTCACACAGTTGCTACTATAGATATAGGAGGTGAAAATGTTTAGCCGGTATTCATACAGAAATTGACTTTTGAGGAGTTGTAGCGCTTTAACTGTCAATGGTAAAAGCGTTTTACTGTAACCATCCTTTGTGTTAGGTTATCAGCCTATAACTGCCATTTGTTCTCCCACTGCCAACGCTTTAACAGTGTCTCACTGTTTGACCATGTACTGAGTGTACAGTAGACATACACGAAGAAATGGTGAGTTTCTTGCATGCCCACTTTTCGCTATGGGCTGAACAACTAGGAACGAATTGGGACGTCAGTACACTGCCACGTCGGAAAAGTAAAATGACTCGTTTGCTTCCAGGTCAACGGTTGACTGAAAGAAAGTGTGAGCTTGATGGACCATTTCAAGGACACTTTTTGAAGCCACATCAGTTGAGTGCGCAACAATCTCACCGTCTACATTTAAGTTATAAAGATGATGCACCTGACTGTTCACAAGCAGTTGTTCACTTTCCAATTTTTCTATAAGATTGCCATTGAGTAAATGATCCTGAGGCTAAGTCACCGTCACACCAACACTCCGCTGACATGAAATCTTAATGGACTTTAAGTACACATGAAGTATGTAAAACAAAAGTTTGTTCAAAAATTCTAGTCGTTGGTCAAATCTGTACATTATTTTAATCTAGAAGACACCCATTTGCGAAGAATCTGGACATCGGCTGGATACGAACCAGCGACAGAAACACCACGCCAAAACGTGGCAAGCGATCTACTAGCTGAGCTACGAAGCCACGCCGGAAGCTCAGAAATGTCACATCTGGACCTAGTTACCCACCCAACAAACTGTGTCATATGGAATCCATCAAATGATCCAGCCGATTGACTGCCGAAGCAGGATTTCTCGATCGGTTCACGCTGGAATCCGGTGTGGCTTCGTAGCTCAGCTGGTAGAGCATTTGCAGCATTTCGGCACGTTGTTTCTGTTGCTGGTTCGTATCCAGCTGAAGTCCAGATTTTTCGCGAATAGATCTCTTCTAAATTATTAAATCTGACAAACTACTTATCAATAATTAGGTTACTCAATGTACTAATTGAGAAAATTACCGGTTTCTGGTTGGGAACCGTTCGTAACCAATAGAAAGCGTGGCATTTTTGCAATTTTGTTGCAAATACCTAACTAACCAACAGAACACTTCGTTCGGGCATCGTATACTTGTTTGTTAGAGTAAATTATTTTGATCGGAATCTTCAACATGGCATAAAGCATGCCATTGAGAATGGTTAGTAATTCTTTTGTACACTTTAGTTCTGTGAATAGAAAAGGATGATTATATATGTGGCTAGTAAATGACGACACGGTCATCATTTAATTGTCAAGTATTTTACTAGATTATTGACTGGTTACCGATTAGTTATTAATTAAAACACCGACGGCATATCCGTATTGATCAGTTGCCTTTCTGAACAGCTGAATATCTTATGTGTGATAATTTTTCGGCAGTTTGTTTAACACAGCTGTTGGTTTACCTCCGTCATTTATTCAATTGAGAATCATAACCTCTGGTCGCGTACTCAGACTCCGTCTCAGAACTGTTCCCATGATTCACACAAGGGTTGTTGAAATCGAATTACCGATTTCATGACGCAATGGGTGTTTACTCTGCCTTCTAGTTATTCGTGTAGCCTTTGTCGGAACCAAGATACTAGCTCGATTTTGTGTTGGTTTTTGTGACATAGAAGACAACACTATTCAGTCACAAGTATGTTTACATAATTCTCACAGATTTTGGAATTAAATATGGGACCCTGGTTGCGACTGCGTCCGTCACAATAAGAAATTTGTTTGCTTATATGTGTTTTCTTGCTTATGACTAAATTGTTTTTGAATATATATATATATATATCTTACACTGTTGCGTTCTAATGTTTCTCAGTGCTGGTCCAGTCAAACCAACACCACCCTGGGTTAAAATGTTCATCAGTGAGTGAATATTTAAAGGCAATTCCAACTAGCAACAAGCTTTTTTTTACACAGTAGCTTGAAACGGGTTTGCTCGTCAGCCCTACTAACTGATTACACCGTCAACAGTCAGATATTTTGTAGTCGCATGTAATATACACTAACGATCTGAGGACAGCTGTACTCGTTTGGATAAAATAGAATAGTGTTTGTTGAAATCGGCTTCAGGAAACTGTTAAAGGGAGAATATTCTCACTGAGTTTAATCCTAATTAAGGGACTCCAAACAGATTGTACTTAGAAAAACGGATTAACAAGTGGTGTTTGTGAAGGATCTTTAAGTGGCATGGGTTAGCTGCGAATTGGGTTTACAACTAAGGTTCAACAAGTGATTTGCATACCAATCAAGCGTTGGTCTCAACTGGTCATAATCAGTATGACCATGAACCGCTTAGAAAGACGGTGAGGTGATCAGGCAACAACGTAATTATGAGATATTACAACTTGGTCGTTTCTTGAGCAAATTGTGTTGGCTTCGCCAACCAAATTGAGGACTTGGTAATTCTTCAACTCGACGGTGGCTTGTCTGCATTCATACGATAGTATCTCAACTAGTTTTCGTTTCTTTGTCTTTTGGAAATATTTTTATCTGAGTAACTTGCTCGTCACTGTTGCTATGACCGGAGAACCCAACTACAACACCGTGTGATTAAGCTCATGACAAATTGTAGCTAATATCTACTCAATTCACTACCTCTCCAAACCCTGGCACAATAGGAGTTCTAACAAAGGACTAGTCCAAACTTCGCGGTAAATGATACCATGTCAGGATTGGATAAACAGTCTCAATATTACGCCTTTTGTTATTCGCCAATTTCTTTGTTCTGTATTGTACCAATTAGCTTACAGTTTGTGATTTTGCATGTGCTGACCACAATAACAGACTGTGATTTCTTCAATACTCTTGTACTTTTTTAAATTCAACTTCGTGTCTGATGAATAAGAACTGCTTCGTACAACTTGTACGAGGTCTTCTCCTTATTACTTGCCTGAGAGGTTTCAATCCGAGTACAACTTCCAGATCTATTCGAAGTCCCTAATTCCGAGTATTACACAAAAGTAATGTGGATATAAGGTTGAGACACTGAAGAGAAGAAGAATATTCTGTTAACAGTGGTATAAAAAAAGTGTCAGTAAACATTTACTAACTACACACTAGCCGTTATACTGTTTTTATGATGATTTATTCAGTAAATGGAAGCCTATTACCACCAGTCGTACGTTGCTGCTTTTGTATCCGTAGATTGTTCTTGGAGTGTTTCGTTGGTTTCCACCTCGAGATAATAAGGAATGTACCGGAATAAGTATCCAAGGTGCAACTGCCTGCTGTCTATATAGAAATTCCGGATTTTCTGGTAACCGTGACTCCTCTTCTCATCTCACTTACACAATCCTGTGAAGAACTTTACAGAAGCGCCGGTATCACTTTGACTGTAGGGGTAACCAACAGAGTGGTATGATCAACACAAACAGCTTTCAATGCTCCACGTCTGCTTTCAATCGAGCTTTCGAAGTGAAGTTTAAATATTCCGAAATGCCAGAAAGCTGGTGTAGTCGTTACCACTGATTGTAAGCAAAACCGCCAGATGCTCGACTATTCATTGTCATAAGTTCCCACTGACACACTGGCGCTCGAATTTTTCGTGTCTCAGTTTTGCCTCTCCTAGCTTAGCTGACAACCTAGTCTGCCGGAACCAATCGGTCTTCTCTGTGATGCCACTTTGCGTCACGTCGTTTTGAGGGAAAAATTTCTGGGAAATATTGAATCACAAAAACCTGTCGTCCCAAAGGAGTAACACAATGACGGCAGGATGCAAAATTTTTTTAAACACATCCATCACCACAAATCAGAGTAAAATTATGTAACGTATACCTCTGTGACTTCCATGCTTCGTGTACTCAAAAAATGTTAGTCTCTATGGTATTAACTGTTACAAACAGAAGTTTATTTTCAGTTTTCCAGGGTACTTCATGCTTGTAAATGTTACCATACTAGGTAACCGACTTTTTGTCAAAGCAGTATGGTTGATTTTTATAAGGGAAACCAGTTATTCCAAATCGCTTGATAGTTCAAAACAGCTCCGAAGCACCTTCGAAAGTTCAACGACATAACTACTAGAAATGTACATCACCTCAAAGACGAAATATGGCGATACATATTTCGAAGGCAGTTAAGACTCATTTAACGTTAAGTATTTTCCCTTTAGATTCTGTAAATTACAAAGATGGGATATTTTTATATTGATGAGCTTCAGACAGATTGTCCTGTTACGATCACATTTTCTAGGTGGTTTACGAATACAGTCATTAAGAGCCGGCTATTACTGTGTTGTCGAGCCATATATTAACGAATTTAACCAACCCATTACAATTATTGCATCTCATCGGAAACCAGGGCGAAATCTGCTAAAGATGTCTAATTCATTCAGCCACCAGTTCACACAGTTCAGTGAAGTTCTATCTTGCTCAGCATGTTAAAAACCAAGGATGGAAAACTGACGATCGAATAGAATGAAGGAGACGGGTTGAGGAATCGATGATTTGCAACAAGATAGTAGATGGGGGTTAATTCGTGTATAGACCTATGGGTGGGAGATTTGTCGACAATCTGGACATCCCCACAGTACAATGCACGCTATACATAAGATGCTTTCCGATCTACTAGAAGGAATAACTTTACCTTCTTGGGAAGCACCGCCAGTCAGCATATCTACCATCCACATTACACGTCCAAGATAAGCATAACTTTCAAGGTAGCAACGTTCTGATCGACCATTTAATTCCTGTATGGAAGTTTATACTGTCTTACAACGACTACACTCCTTACATCACATTTATATCAAGTGAGTTATGCACTTCTTGTTCAACTGTTTACCGAATAAAGGGATATGTTGTTTAGTTGGAGGAAAAGTGACTGGTGCTAAGTCGTAATCTCTTAGATGGCTCAAAACGAGGATCAGTTGTGCTTGAGCTCAATCTTGGGGCGACAACAATGTCCATTTTCATGCCAGGTCAATGTCAGTTAAGCGACATCATCTGACTAAGGCTTTGCTGTACTCAGATTGTGCCTGTGGGTGGACCTGTGCTGAATGAGTGTCAGTAACCAATCTGTATATCAGGTTACGTGCTTGTCAGAATTATATCAGAAACAACAACGAGCATACGATGGTTACAAATGTCCACATACCGGCCACTAACAAATGGATAGGTTCGGGAATGACTAGTTAATCAAGCGAACTGAACAGTTGCCAGAATTAACGAGCAGGTGAACTTGCTTGTATCACTGTAATGTTTGTTCATTGTGCGGTCATACGTACAGGAGTGTGAAAATGAAGAGGTTAGTGCTGACAACTACGAGCGATAATAGGACATTGACCAGGTTGGGTTTTGACCATCGGGGTAAAAAAAATGGCGATTACGGTCCTAAATCAGGTGATTGTGAACTGAAAGTGATCATAATAGGTTAGTTACTTGAGGAAGACCAACGGCTATTTCTTCCAACCAAATCTGTTGAATTCGTTTGCGTTAACCAAGATCCCTTATGCAGGGTGCATCTTGGTTATCATTGTCACAGAATGCAACTTGGATTAGTGTTCACCATCCTTTCTTAGACTGAACGATTTACTCTTATCGATTCCATATAATCTAGGAGTTTAGTTAACCGGGAACGGTTCCAGTTCATGAATTGACTAATTTTACGGAATCACTCCTCAAGCAAACAGACCGGAAAACCTTACAACGCGATTAAATTAAACTGAAATTCATGGTTATACTGTAAATTGTACTTGGTTCGATGAGTGATGAGGAGGATGAGGATGATAGTGATGGTGATGACGCTGATGCCGGTTTATGTGGTATCGTGTTTCAGCACAAATTGATTTAGTTAACCATCATGTGTGTTTGTGCATGTTTCTATTTTTTTTTCAGTTCGCCGCTTCAAAGTACCGACGAAAGCAAATACAAGTGCGCACGAACCTACTGACAGACCACC